CTACTAAAAGAAAAAATTATTAAAGATTTAAATGTTTTAGACTGAGCTTGGCAGTTTCAGCTAGTCAAAACTTGTCGAGTAGGGGAGCAGTTTACCATCCTTTATTGATATCCTTTTATTGTTGGAAAAGCTAAGTATTGCTAAATTTTAATCAGAAAGTTAATTTACAGGGTCTGTAAAATTGGATTTTTCCCTACATGTGATGACTGAAAAATAAGTATTTACTATGGAAGTTGCTTCTCCTGTAATTTAACTACCATAGTGTATGTTTGTGGAAATGAACTTCGCAGTTGTACTACTTAAATCATTCAACTTACCTAAATAATTGTGATGCATGGTATTGTTATTCTATTGTTCTGTAGGAAAAAGTGTGTGCAGCAGCAAAAGCAGTCAGGTGAATAGCTAGTTGATAGTGTATAGTTTAATCTGACAAAAACTGACCAAGTCTCAGTTTGATGACCTATCTTCCAGGACATATCTTTAAGGAATACCCATGTGGGATATAAGATCTGTGCAACTCTATTTGGTGGATCTCCTCATACTGGGTTTTCCAACAGAATTGTCTAAAATTTTGGGTTTGGAAAATATTTTATCTGTAAAAATAGCAATATACTGGCTGCCTGTTCTGCTATGATGAACAGTTCCGTTCCTTTATATCTTGGATTAAGGCATGTCAGTTTCCAAGAATTAATGCCTAGCCATAATTATCCCTTTTTACAAGACTTTTTAGTATAATAGAACGATGATGTTGCCAATGAGTTTTAGATAGCACATATATAAACAGAAGAATGCCAAGTATGCATTACAGAAGTTAAGTTTACATCAATATCTCCTGATCAGCCTACTGGCAATAGGAGGTAGAAAACTTAGTCTAATGTTGAACAAGAAGACCACAGAAGTGATGAATGACAACATATGTATTGAATGTTTCAGAATCTACAGTCTAATGAGTTACATAAATGTTACACATAAATTCAACTGAGAATTGTCTTTTAACCAACAGATAAAACATTCTTCCCATGTTCCAACACACATTTCTTCATTTACTTATGTACACATGGTAACTGAAAAGCTACTTACATTGACAAAATCTCGTGCTACTTAATTGTATGTTTCCATGAACTAGTCACTCTTTATCATCTCTCTACACATTTTTTATCCACACACACACGAGTCAAAGTAATGGACTAAAAAATCTCTACTAACTTTAAAGTTTTTAGCTGCAGCTCATATGTACTTGGAATTTCTCATTAAAAAGCATTTTCTTATTAAATAAAATCTCTAGTTTGAATTAGTAACCCAACTTGTGTTAAGTTTGTTTTAAATCTTTCTCATTAGTTATATAAATACTGTTACTAATTCAATTCATATGAGTCTGTATTAAATCCAAGTTCATTTACTGGTATTTACAATTCCCCTTCATTTAGAGTTTTAATATTGTCATTACAAATTTTTATTGTTGTTCATAAACTTTTATTTAACAATCTATCATCTTGGCAGTAAGTTATAATAATTTCAGGGAATTTCAACCATATCAGTAACCCAGGACAAGGACAAATCACAGGAATATAACTAGGTTTCATACAGTAGTGGAATGTATATTAAATGTATGGTGTTTTGTGCTATCTTTCACTCACTTCAGTGATCCTTTATTTATATAAGATTTCAGTAATGTAAGTTATTCAACCAACAACCTGTTTAAAATACTATATTGTGTCAGTCCTTGGTCAATACCTTGCTTTTGGACAAAATAATGAAGCAACAATAACTCTTCATATTCCAAAACTATGTTTAAAACATTTATATTTGGATTCAATCACTTGACATTGCTGTTGTACATAGAAGATCTATTTAACTCTTTGAGCCCAAGTGCTGTCAGTATCCGGTCAAAAATTCCAATTTACCCATCGAATGGTAACAGCGTTTGGTAACATTTATGTCTCTTTGGCTGAAAACTAATCTAAATCATGCTATTATCCATTTTTTTATAAATAAATCAGAAATTGTTCTGCATAAGGGAGTGTAACTAATATTTTACAGAGGAATCCAGTCTTTCAAGTCATGTCATAAAAGTCTTGAGTAATAGAAGAAGGAAAAGGTTGTACAAAACAGTTGAAGCTACTGGACATGGTATTTACCAACCTGCAGGTTCTTTTGTTAGGGATTATTTGAGAGATGTCAGTGCTCCTTGCAACATCTGTCAGCCTGTTTTTACACAAAACACAAAAGTTTATTCTAATATGATGATGAGGAACCCACTTTGAGACTAATAATATTTGAAGATGGCTTGAATGGGTACTGAAGAAAAACTTTAATATAAAATTAACATAACAGCAAGTGTACAACGTTTCGACAAG